AGCGTCGTTCCAACATACGAATTTAAGGTTGAGATATTGAGGATCGAGGCACACCGCGCGCGTCCCGTTGATTGTCTGCCTAATACTACTCCAGTGGCGGCGCGCGTTGGATACGTACCCCAATAAAATGAAAAAAAACCCCGGATGGGAAATACCAAGGTCGGACGCCAGGAATCGAACCTGGGTTTATCATTTGCCTCCGGCCAGGAGAGAGACCGCCACCGGCGCGGTGCACCACGTCCGACTGACCGTTGTTTAGTTCAGCGACGTGTGAATGGAACAAGGAAACAATCAGCATACTACGTAGAATCGAATTTGAACCAATGGAATGGAACAAAAAGTGTGATCGGAGTCGGCGCCTCATTCGGACGCCGGGAGTCGAACCCGGGTTTGAACTTGAGCTCCTTCGCCCATGTAATCCAGATTTGTGCGCGGAGCGCCACGTCCGAGGTATCTGCTTGGTTTCCAACATCGCTACATCCAGCGAAATAATCAACATTCAGAGAACTCAAGTACTCACGGGCCTCGAATCGTGGGTGCTTGACCCGGGTCATATCAAGAAGGCCGTGCACCACATCCGAGGTACATATCTGCTTGTGTTCCAACATCGCAGCACCACCAAGTGAAATAATAATAATAAAAAATGCAGAGAACTCACGGGCCTCGAATCGTGGGTGCTTGACCCCGGCCATACTTGTCAAGCCAGGATGAAAATTGATTGATTCTTGAAACGAAACGAACAAAAGCTCTGCCTACTCCAGTACTAGTGGCGGCGCCCCGAATAAAATGATCAAAAGCCACGTTGCAGAGTACGAAGGGCGGACGCCAGGGATCGAACCTAGGTTTGCCTCCGCCCAAGCTTAAGGGAGAAGCCGTTGCGTTGCACCACGTCCGACTCGGAGCGACTAGTGACCGTCTGTTTAGTTCAGCCTTGTGTGAATGGACCGAGGAAGAAAACCATAAGTAGAATCGAATTTGAACTTACCACTGGAATAAAAACCGTGTTGGCATCGGAGCCGCATTCGGACGCCGGGAATCGAACCCAGGCTTGGTTTGCCTGCTCTGCGTCATTCAGATTTGGCGGAGAGAGGGAGGCCGTGCACCACATCCGAGGTATGAACTCAATTGAAAGTGTGAATACACCAATAATTGAAATGCAGAGAACTCGCGGGCTTCTAATCGCGGGTGCTTGACCAGCCAGACGGGGAAAAGTGGAAACGAAGCGAACCAAAGGGGAGAACGACTGACTCGGATGTACATGTAACAATGTTACCAAGATGTTACGCCTAATTGGGATGCCGGGAATCGTAATCGAACCCCGCCCGAGCCTGCCGCTTCCGCGTGGACACACGACGCACACCCTGTGATGCCTGGGTGAAATCGACGGACCAGTGCTGTGGGGATGTATCGTAGAAATTTCTGAGAGAACTCACGTGTTTGAACCGACCGACCAACGCGAAGAAAACCCGGTGTGAAGGTGGAGCAGGCACCGGCTCCTCCAAGACCGGATTCAGATTTGAGTCCGTGGCTCATGCGGGGGTGGTGCTCGGTGGTTGCTGCTGGTTGCTGTGGTTGAACCGCCTCGCCGCGGCGCGGCAAGCCATCATTATTCGGTGATTGTGATTGGATCAGTTATCGCACGGCGGATAGGGTTGTCTTGCCAGCCCACATGCGACTCAGTGTGCGTGGTCCATCTTGCCTCTTCATCCACTCATATTAGCTCATCTGACCGTAGTACGCCACGCGGATACTCGGCCTCTCCGACGACGACTGGGAACAGCGACCCGAGGACTGATGACCTTTGTCTTGGCTGAGATGGTCGCCCTCGACAGCCGGGAACTGCTGTACGCAAGCTGTACGAGGCTTACACTGGGAGCCCGCGAGCCTTGCTGGGAATCCAAGAATCATCGCAGTTTAGCCTTGTACGCAGTCCCAGTCTCCGCCCAGTCACTGAGATCCCTGCTGTGTCCCAGCAATCGACGCCGCGCGGCAGTTACATCGCAGTTCGGCGTTGTGTTCAAGTTGAGTACTGCCAAGACCAGATAATTTAGCTTGGCGACATGGTCTCTTGCATGGATCCTTCATCCTCCCATGTGCTTTGCTCCCGGTTGGCCCTCTCTAGCCCGAACCCACTATCTGTTGCTTCGGTATATAAGGAGGGGTCAACGATGTACTTGCTCAGGTCGTCTCGCTTCGTCGTCACCCCACTAGCACTCTCCCGCCCAACGCTCCCTTGTCCTTTATTGGTCAGTCATTATGGTCGCAATCATGAACAAATTCTTCCGCTCGGTCCTGCTCGCCGTCGTCCTCTCCTCCCCGGCCATGGGCCTCATCCTTCCCGCCGGCTCCAAGGACGCGTCCCTCGTCGCGCCCAACTCGGCCAAACACGGGACCCACCGTGCCCGTACGCTCAAGAGCGGCGCCACCATCGAGGTTTTCCATCCCGAGTCTAGCTATGAGGTGCGCGCGCTCCATGCCAGTTCATCGACTTAAGCGCTAACGAGAATGTCTAGACCTTCGACGCGGGCATCGACCACCCCCTGCGCAAGCGCGGCGCCACCCTCGAGGAGTCCACGACGACCTTCATCAAGGCCCACACCGGCGTCGACGTTTCCTACCGCAGCGGCTTTGCCCACGACGTCGCCTCGCACGGATACGCACACCAGGTCATCGTGAGTTGTGTTTCTTCTCATTTCCCGAGTACGTGTTGATTAATGGACGACATCCAGGACGGCGTGATCGTCTCCAACGCCGTCTCCAACGTCGCGTTCAACACCGACGACCGCGTCGTCGCCATCGGCTCGTCGTTCGTCAAGCCCAGTACGTCCCCTCCCCCCTTTTCACTATTGCTCCTCCATACTAACCTCGTGGTCCACCAACAGCCAAAGTCGCCTCCAAGACCCCCACCGTCCCCTTCGCCTCCGCCCAATCCACCGCCGAATCCGCGCTGGGCGGCTCCTACCTCTCCTCCATCCCCTCCACCGTCGAGTACTTCGCCAAAGACGACGGCAGCGTCGTCCTCGTGCACGTGCTGCAGGTGCGCAACGAGGCGGCGGGGACGTGGTACAACGCGTTCGTGGACGCGCACGATAACGAGTTGGTTTCGGTTACGGATTACGTGGCGCAGGCGTCGTATCTTGTGTTGCCGATGAGCAAGGAGACGCTTACGCAGGGGTTTGAGACGTTGGTGGATCCGCAGGATACGAAAGCGTGTACGTTCTCCCTTCTCCCTTCTCTTCCTGCTCCTCCTCTGCGCCATTGATGAAAACTAACGACGACCCCGCAGCCCCCCTCGGCTGGCACTCGGACGGCACCACCAACCACACCTCCACCTCGGGCAACAACGCCCTCACCTATAAGACCTCCTCCACCTCCACCACGCCCGAGTCCGCCGCCGGTCTCGTGTTCAACTACCCCCAGAAGGCCACGACGGCACCGACGACGACTGCGAACGTGAACGCGGCGCGGGTTAATAACTTTTATATTGTGAACTCGGTGCACGACATCACCTACCGCTACGGATTCACGGAGGTCAGCGAAATTCGATTCCGGGGAGGAGGCGGTGACTGATGGCGGCGACAGAAAGCGTTCAACTTCCAGACCAACAACTTTGGGCTGGGTGGGAAGGGGAATGATCGGGTTACCTCGTCCATCCAGGACTCGGCTGGCAGTGCGTCTTCTTTCTTCCCTCCCTCCCCCCTTCGTCTGCGTCAGTGCTGATTACTGCGACACGTAGCTGACAACGCCGACTTCTCGACGCCCCCCGACGGCCAGAGCGGGCACATGCGCATGTTCCTCTTCACCGCCACGACCCCCAACCGCGACGGCGCGCTGGAGAACGACGTGCCGACGCACGAGAACACCCGTTAGTCCCCTCCCTCCTCCCTCCTCCCTTCCCCCCTCCTCCTCCTCCTCCTTCTTTATTCCTTTCGTGGTACTGACTCGAGCTTGCAGACGGCGTAACGAACCGCATGACCGGCGGCGGCACCGGCGCGTGCCTGCAGACGACCGAGGCGGGCGGGATGGGCGAGGGGTGGAGCGACGCCTTCGCGGATTGGAACGAGAAGACGAGCAGCGCGGTGCCGGATTATGTTATGGGGCAGTATCTTGAGAATGACGCTGCGGGCAGTAAGTGTTGCTTTCCTCTTCCCTCCTTCCTCCTCTTCCCTTCCCTCCCTCCGCCGTCTCTCCTCTCGCCGACTCGCCCTTCTCTTTGCGCATATGCTAATTGGTATCCGCGCAGTCCGCACCCACCCCTACTCCACCTCCGCCAAAGTCAACCCCCTCGACTACTCCTCCGTCGGCACGCTCAACGAGGTGCACAACATCGGCGAGGTGTGGGCCAACCTGCTGCACAACGTCTACGCCGCGCTCGTGGGCGAGTACGGCTGGGCGGCGGACGCCAAAACCAACCCGGATGGGACGGAGGGCAATGTCGTTTTCTTGCATCTTTTCATTGATGCGCTGGCGTTGCAGCCTTGTAACCCCACCTTGTACGCGCCCATCTTTCTTTTTTTTTGCGCAGCGCTGATGTGAGTTGAATTTGACGCAGCCTCACCGCCCGCACGGCATGGATCCAAGCCGACGCGAACCGCTACGACGGCGTGAACAAGTGCCTCCTCTGGAAGGTCTTCGCGTCCAAGGGCCTCGGCGTCAACGCCAAGGGACACGTTAACAATGCTGCTGTTCCCTCCGACTGCTAAGTTTCTAGAAATCGTTGCATACCTACATTCATACCCACAAATCTGCATATGTACGCTGCATGTATAAGTACTTACCCTGGAAATGAAATAATAGCATTACTGAGCGGAATGTTCAATTTCGAGTGTGAGGATGAGTTTGGAGTCAGTTCGAGTTCCGGTTTATCAGCTCTGGAAGGTGAAGAGTGTGGCTTGAGATACATTCACCGCGCCCGGCGTACTCGCATAATTGCACGAGACTGAAAATTTTTCCAGAGCCATAGAATCAGAATAAAAATGGAACTATACCCTACCGGGATATTCGAACGCCGGGAATTGAACCCGAGTCTGCCTCTGACGCTTGTAAAGATCACTTAACAGGAGAGGCCGTGCTGCGCTGCACCACGTCCGAGGTACCGGTCTCATTCAGTGCTCATACGAGGGGAAACGAGACTGAAGTTTCCCAGAGCTATAGAATCAGAAAAAAATCAAGATGCCCCGCTATTCGAACGCCGGGAGTTGAACCCGAGTCTGCCTCTGTATCTTCAAGGCCTTGCTGAATAGGAGAAGTCGTGCTGCGCTGCACCACGTCCGAAGTACCAGTCTAATTCAATGCATGAACCAAATAAAATAAGCTGATTCAACTCACGCATCGCCGCAACGAGTACTTGGATTACTTAGAAGGAGAGAAACCAAAAATACCGTCCAGACCGAAATACAAGTCGGACGCCGGGAGTTGAATCCAACCTGATACGGCTAGACGCAGACACAGAGAGAGAGGCCGCGGTGCGCTGTGCGATGTACCACGTCCAAGGTAATGACCTAGGTAACGGACGCGTTGAATCGACTACGAGCAACCTGGGCAGGAGAGGGCGAAAAAGGCAGGGCCGTTCAACGATAGCTAATTCGGACGCCGGGAGTCGAACCCGAGTCTGCCTCTTACTCTGAAGAGTCGTCCAAGAGGAGAGGCCGTGCTGCGCTGCACCACGTCCGAGGTGCCGGTCTAATTCAGTGCATGAATATAAAATAAGCTAATCAACCCACGCACCGCCGCAACGAAACCAGTCGGACTTGGAATAGCCGGAGAGAAACTGAAGACACTTAAAGTCCAGACCGAAACGACGCTCGGACGCTGGCAGTCGAACTCGATCATCCTAGACGCAGAGCGGGAGAGGCCATGTTGCGCTGTGGGAGACCAGCCGATTCGCGGACAGGAGGGCGTCACTCCTCCAGAGCTGCAGACCACAAAGAGAGAACAAGAACCAAAACCAAGCAGGAGCCGAAGGGGGCAGCGGATTCGGACGCCGGGAATCGAACCTGGAATTGCCTCCTCAGTATACTCAATTGGGCCATCGAAATGAGAGAGGCCGTGCTGACTTGCACCACGTCCGAATTACTGAGCTAGGGATTTGTTGAGATGGGTGAGCATGGTTGAAGTTGGGAAATGGCTCGGCTGTAACCAGCATTCCTCCGCTCATAGGAGGAACGTAGTGTCGTGCGAGGGACGGGGTGACGAGCGGCAGAAGCCAGGGAGGTTGAATAGAAGATCACACACCGCTCGCGAGCATTGAAGCAAAAGGATCACAGAAACACTGCATTCGGACGCCGAGAATCGAACCCGGTTTTGCCCCTGCCTATATCCACTGGTGGTGCCTCCGAAGTACCTGCTTGGTTGAGAGTGTGGAATCTGAGTACACGAAGTATAATGATGGAGGGAGAGAACTTTCAACTCGCGGGGTAATCGAGTGAACCCGACTGTGACGAGACCAGTTGAATCAGAAGGAAGAAAACGAACAATAAAAAGAACTTGCTATCCTCGATAAACGTCAGTCGGACCGACAGACCAGGGTTTGCTTCCTCAGTATATTTGCGCCGTGTGTTGAGATGAGAGAGCCTGTATCGCCGAACTACTGGGCTTGTTCAGCGTCGCGTGAAGCAATTGCAAGTAAAATGAGTTTGAAACGGACAGGGCTCACGGGCTTGAATGTGCATGCTCTTGTGTGACAACGACCAGGGGACTAAACGAAACGGGTCGAACCAGGAGAGAGAAACAAGATGCTTGCAGGAGGCACAGTGGCATTCGGACGCGAACCCGGGTCTGCGTCCGCTCAACTTGGATTATGGACCGAGAGAAGCCATTGCGTTGCACCACGTCCCACTGGAGAAATAATTATAATGGAGGGACTCAACTAGCAGAAATGGTGCGGGGAAAAGGTAGCCGACACTGTTGTTGAACGCTATGAGCCGACTCGAACTGAATGACAAAAAAAAGGAAAGGTAAGTCTAAGCCAGCGAGCAAGAAAACATTCAATGTAAGCGACCACCCCGGTCCGTGTTGCATCACTGCCGAGGTACGTGTCTAATTCAGCGTGAATACACCAGCTGAAATGAATCAGACCGGACAAGATTTACAGGCTTGGAACCCAGACTTTTGGCGTTCCAATCACCTAGAACCGAGCAAGAACCGAGCATTCGATGAACTCAAGTTCGTGTCGCATGAAAATCAAATGAAACAATGGGCTAACGCACGAGGTTTTCTTTCACAACACCGGCCACCTGTGTTCGCGTCCGAAGGAAAGTGTATGAAGTTGCGGGTTCACAGTTGGAATAGTTGAACATCCAAGAGAAAATATCGAGATGTAACTACTCACCCTAGTGCGGCTGCCTTGACCTGCTCCAACACCGCCCAATCGGCCAACCCGAACCTCTGCGGCAGGCCGTCCCACAATCTCTGCAAAGCCCTTGCATGCGCGGTCTTCATGTAGGTTTGGCAAGACACACAGGCAGATGACAAGCTTGCCCAGTGGTCTGTCTCCCACAAACGAAGTGGCAAAGTCCCCGAACGTCGTGCCTCTGCTTCCCTGCGTGCTTTGAGACGGGCTGCGGTGCATGTCCCCGGGCGTTCGCATCCCGGAAGGACAGGGGGGTCCCAGAGGAAGTTAAGAATCGCTGAGGAAGCCGCAGTTTTGAGTTGGATGGATTGTTCCACGCAGCGTAGTTTGTCGGCAGCGCTGAGTTCCCGATGGACCCCATCCTCTCCGCTCACCCCATTCAGTATTTGGTTTGAGGAGAAGACTGCCGTTAGTCGATAAAAGGCAAGGGGCAGGATCCAGTCGAGGAATAATCCTTGGCCGAATAGAACGATGCGAAGCCATTCATCGTTGTCGACGCCCCATGACGCAGATTCAGACCACGTCGAGTATTGGCCGGAGAGCGTGGGAAATGCCGATGATAGATGGACCAACCCCCGTTTCCGCAGGCCACTTGATATTTCGTACTGAGTCGAATTATAGCCGAAATCGTATCAGAGTCGGTTTTGGCTGGATACGGGAGGAAGAATCTTGATAAATACAGGTCAGAGGTACGGATCGACGCGAAGGGGATGAAGACTTACTCATAATCGAATAACGCCTTCAAAAAACACTGCAAGTCGCGCTTATCGTCGGACAGCTGAACGACGGGGCACCCCTCGATAAAATCGCCATCGTCTGGCTGAGGGAACTGGAGCATATCGTGGAACACCGGCGAGCGCTCGGCGAGGAGGCCAGCATAAACGCGGAATGCGGCGGAACCTGCCTGGAGCACGAGAGTGCTGTCGTTGAACCAAAGGCCCTCGACGGGAGTATGACGGACCGCGTCGGTGGTTGGGGGCGAGGTGCTATCTGCTGCAGGTACAGTGGACATGGAAGAAGAGCACAGAAGAGCACGAGGACGTTTTTATTTGCCCGTGCTATGTGATTGCCGAGTCCTGCCGAACTCCGAACCACATCCGATTCTTGATCTCGGCTGTATCTCAAAGGATGGATACTTCAAACGAGTAATAAACTGGGGGCCTCCAATCCAATTTCCAACTCTACTACCACCAAATGAGGGATTCGGACGCCGGGAGTCAAACCCGGGTTTGCCTTACAACACGCGAGGTACGAGCGAGATCTGTTGTAGTGTTTGTCTGTTTACAAGAGACTAGGTTTGCCTCGTTAATCGTGAGTTGCGCATCATTGTGAGAGGCTGCGATAAAAAAACCTACACATGCCAAGATATGGTCGTTGATGACAGAGCCAGGATGGTAGAGCTGAAATGTCTGGTCACGACCCAAGGGAGCAGGTATTCCGAGGTGAGAGGTCACCTTGGGGATGTCGGGGAAATGCTGAACCCAGCCTTCCTCGTCTGACGGACCACCGCGATTATGACCGGCAGAATTACCAGAGAACGTGGTGCCGCCGGTAGAGCTAGATGGTTGGGAGAAAGGAACGAATCCGCTTTTGGAGAGAATCTCCGAGGGTTTAGAATCCGTCACAGAGACCACCTTCGCAGTTCTTCTCCAAGAGGACGGGCGTACCGCAATTTTGAAACCGCGTAAGAAAACGGTCTGGTTTGCTGCCCCAGATTCATCATCTGACTGTCCTCGAGGGCCAGAGTCCGCGAAGCCACTCGCGCTTTCCCATTCCCATCTGTATGAGGGAGGTAGCTGCAGACCCGACCTGTGCTGCCTTGAGCTTCATCGAGATAAGATTGTGTCTAGATTTATTTTCCAGCGCGGCCAAACTCCACGATGTCGACTTGTCGATTCCGGTAACAAGGTAGAGGTCGCCGCTCTCCACCATTCGCTCGAGGGACCCGTTGACGAATTTGTACCAGCTTTGCGCATGTTTGAGAGCATAATCCCTGAATCTCTTCACCCGCCGGATGTCCCACCGCGATGCGCCGTCTGGTAGTAACAGCACCGCCGCCTGCTTCAAAACCCCGGAGATCTGAACAACCGCTCCAGCTCCCAGGGGTAGAAACCTGGCGCCGCCACTGTTGAATCAAACCAATTCGCTCCACCATCAAAATTTGTACTCACACATTGTCCTCGATAGTCGCGTCCAGATCCAAACGACGCTTCTTAATATCTGTGCTGGAGACATCGGATCCCGGCCGGTGATATTGCGCCCGGAACGCGACATCCTCAGCATCACGGACAAGTTGTTCGAACCCGGCTGGAACACCAAAACGGTTGAGTGGGTCGTCTGCTGCACGACAGATGTTGAAGATCACGTCGAATGACCCATCGGAGGTCACGACACCGAGGTCTCCAATTTCAGTTCCCACACGACGGGACTGGAGGGGTAGATCGTCAAAGGGTTGCGGATGGAAAAGGGGGTAGCCATGTCCTTTCGGCAGGAGTAGACGGGTGTAGAGACGGCTGTCCGACATTGGGGGGAAGATGGAGCAAAAAGATGCAGACTGCGTTAGGATTTAACCCCCCAGGTCCACGATGCTGTTGCACCACAGCTTGGTGGCGTTGTAGCGCCGCCATAAGAATCAATCTACGAAGCTATTGTACTACAGCTCGGTGGCGTGGGGAACCTGTTGTAGTACCGTGGTAAAAATCAATTTGTCAAGTAGAATGGATTAGAATGGATGCTAATCGGGGTTGCGGCGGCCAGGTTGAGGAAGGTCGTGATGTAGGATTTGCATAGGTGAACGTGCTTGATGCCAGGATCCGAATAAGGGTCAGACGCGACAAGACGAACCCGTAGATAATATTACTAGAGGATGAAAACAAGCAACTTGAACAGACTCAACAGAGATGTCGCGAATTCACGCGCCGCAAATCGGAACCCTAATTTGCCTCTTGATGAACCAGCGGAGGCCCAACGAGAGGCCGTGCTGCGCCACAGCACGTCCGACTCCCTACGTAAGTAGTTCAGTTGATGAGTACACGAGAGGCCGTGTTCACGTCCGGAGTATGTATTTACTTGGTTCGAAACGTGGATAAACCAAGGGAAATAATGGAATGGAGACACGTTACGCATGCCGCGGGAACGATTGCACGCGTCGAATCGAGTTTGAAAGCAACGAGCTCAACTCAGGCCGGGACGAAGGGGACGAGACGAAGGGGGGACAGACAAGGAAAAATATCATTGCCGATGGAGTCGCCGCCATTTGGACGCCGGGAATCGAACCCGGCTCTGCCTCCGTTCAAATTCTGAACCGCTCCGAGGTACTGACCCTAGTTCAGTCAGTGCATAGCATATACCGAGTAAAATCAGCAGAACAGTGGAGAGGACTCACGGACGCTGAATCGGGATTGAACCTGTGTAAGACGCGTCGGAACTAAAAACTCAAAAGATCGGTGCAGTCTTGCAGAGACATCCGGACGCCGGGAGTCGAACCCGGATTGCCTCTTTTCAAATTCCGAAGTTGAACCCACCTGCAAAGCGAGAAAGGCCGTGCTGCCCTGCACCACGTCCGGCGTACCGACCCTATGTAGTTCAGTCGGTGAATAAGTACACCCTACCAAGATAAAATTGAAGTTGAACTCACGCATTCGGAGCGACTTGGACTCCATTTCAGCTCAGGTCAAGGACGACGCGGTCGAACATGTACAGAAGTAAGTCTAAGTAAAAGGTAAGTGTTTCCTGAGTCACTGGTCATTCGGACGCCGGGAGTCGAACCCGAATATACCTCCTCACTCTAACGCACAAGGTACTTATATATAATGAGAGGCCGTGCGCCGCGCACCACGTCCGAGGTACCAACCTACATGGGAGAGAAGGATAAGCACGGCTGAAAAACGCAACCCGAAGCGATCGACTCACCCGTGAAAACCAGCTGTGCATTGGAATAACTGCAGTGCGAGGGACCGAGCGGGATGCGAGCAAGAGACGGAGCAAGGGAAGGAAGGTGAATTCGAGACGGAATTTGAGTCGGAGTAAAAGGTTTTGTGCGCTCGGCAATTCGGACGCCGGGAGTCGAACCCGGATTTACCTCCTCGCCATGAGTGGTCTCATAAGTGAGAGAGGCCGTGCTGCGCTACACCACGTCCGAGGTACCAGCCTACATGGGAGTGAAGGATAAGCACGGCTGAAAAATACAACCCGAAGATCAACTCACCCGTGAAAATTGTGCATCGGAATAACGAATAACCGCACCGCGACGGTGTCGTGCGAAGGACGGAGCGGGATGCGAGCAAGAGACGGAGGAAGCAAGGGAATGATGAATTCGAGACGGAATCTGATTCGGAGTAAAAAGTTTGCGATATCCTTAACCTTTGCAATTCGGACGCCGGGAGTCGAACCCGGAATTGCCCCCTCAACGAACGCGGGATATTGGCTGAATGGGAGAAGCCGTGCGCCGCGCACCACGTCCGAGGTGTGGTGCCAAGAGTTGAGGGCGGGGACATGAGAGCTAGAGCAAGGGGAGAGGAACGGGCGGGGAGGATAGGACGTGCGCGTAACGACGCGGAGAGCTAGCGCGTGGGGGTAAAGCTCGAAGAACAGGGACTCGAAGGCGAGGGCGTTCGAAGAAGAGAAAGGAGCGCAGAGAGGAGAGATCCAAATGTAAATGCAGTACATTTATTCGTTCGTTCGTCCATGAATCCACGGTGCGGGTATGTAAGGTAGATGTAGATGTACGGAGTTCGGGTGTCGGTGTGGCGGGGATGGGAGGTGTGGGTGGGGCGTAGATGAGATGTGGTGGGGTCGTGGGCGGAAGGAAGGGAAGGAAGGGAGGGGATGAATAGCAATAGTAATAGATGGAACGTACACACACAACAGATCGCAGATCGTCCGTCCTTCCCCAATAAATGCGCAATAAATCCCCCATCTCCTCTGCCTCGCTCTGCGCCGAGTCGTCGTACGTCGTACAGCAAGCACGCACACGACTACTCAAGCCCCATCGCCCACGCGCTCGTCTGCCTCTCCTCCAGCCCGCGTATCCGCGCCTTGAGCGCCTTCGTCTCCGCCCCCGCGTTCTTGGGCGTGCGCTCCAGCTGCGCCTGCGCCGCGCGCAGCTCCGCGGCCAGGTACGCCTGGCGCGCGGCGGGGGAGGAGTTTGCGCCGGGCTCGGGTCCAGTGGTGTTTGAGGGGGCGGCGCCGGCGAAGGGGGTGCCCCAGGAGCCCGTGGTGGCGTGCGTGGGGGGCAGCTGGGGCGGGTAGGCGCCGAGCTCGACGGCGTCGCGCTCCGATGCAGGTGCAAGTGCCGGCGCGGGGGTGGGCATCGCGTACGCCTGCGGTGGCGCGGGGTACGTCTGCGGTTGGGAGACGGGTGGTGCGGCGGACATGGGTTGTTGTTGTTTGGCGGTGGATGGGCGGGGGGCAGCGGGGCCGCCGAGGGTGCGGCCCTGGCCGGCAAAGGCGGCGCGTCGGCGGGCGCGGCGGACGAAGAGCCACCGCACGAAGAAGAGGGCGGCGACGCCTGCGAGGATGGCGATGGCGACGCCGATGATCAGGCCCACTGGCGCTTTGTGTTGTCTGCGAATTTGCGATTTTTTTACGTTAGCAACGGTGCGGGGTTGTGCGGCGCATTGGGGACGTACTTGTCGGATTTGAGGTGCCGTGTGGGGGACGGTCTGCGGGGAAGGAAGGAAGGATGAGTGAGATTGAGAGGGGGATTGAATGCGGGGATGTGAAGTGAGACGCGGACGGACCGTGCGGAGTGGCTGGCTTGTGTGGAGGCGGGGACGCCGGATGTTGCGGTCGGGACAAGGGTTATGGAACGCGGCTCGAGGGCGCGCGCGGTTATGGGCATCGTCGTGGTCGTGTGTGGGTAGTTTGTGGATGGTCGTCAATGGCGAGAGTGGGAATACATTGGCCAAAGACAATGGCGATGGAATAAAACACGCGTAAACAAACGGCCTTTTGTTCTCTTCTTCCACATCCGTCAATTGTCCGCCTTCCCAACTTGCTACGACCTATCCCCCGGCGAAATCGAGCATATATGGACGGAAACTACTGCGAAACAAGAGCTCAGACTTGCACTCGGCCTCTGCTCGCCGTTCGGCAATCTGCAAGTTGGACGGTCCTAGGCTTGGCGCTGTCGAAAAACGACGTTAACGCGGGGCCAACGCGGTGAACGGCGAATACAAAAGAAATCTAGATCGACGGTCTATGTCAACGGGACGGACTGCCTTCCAAGTACCGGTGCCTGCGCTCCGTCGACGCTCAATTCCTTGAAAGTTGAAGTTCATTCGTTGTCTCCACCGCATTCACGGACTCGAATCAACGTGGAGAGACAATCGTCGCGGGATGCAGTACTGGCTATGGTTGCTCACACTGTTACAGCCATCAACCCCGGTTCGCCGTGATCGACCCCGGGTTTCCCGCACAGTGCTTTATTATAATCTGTGAGATGAGATGAATGTACACCTCGGCGCTGTGTAAGTACCTACTCGATACGGACTCACTCACAACTCACAACGAAATTCAAGACGACCCAGTGGCGAACGGTTTCGCATCCACATTCCATTCAACGTCTTGAACTTTATGTGGAGAAGTCAACCAGGCCTGGTTCGACTCCAGGCTGGGTCATAAGAGGCTATCAATGGTATCATGTTTTTTTTTGCGGCCACTGTGTGTTCGACCGCGCGCAGCTTTGAGTTCATTCAGGTTCATTCGGGTTGAAGATGGGGGTGAAAGAGACCCGGTGGCGAGAGGTTTCGCACCCGCATCAATTTCTATGTCCATTTGGCTTACGGCGGGCACTCCTGGTTCAATTCCACGCTGGGTCATGAGTGCTTGCTGGTGATATTTTTTTTCAACGAAGGTTCGTCCCAACAACGGTATATACTCATATATGCTTAGGAAGACCCAGTAGCGAGAGGTCTCGCGCCCGCACCTACTTGCTGCTTTGCCCTTTCTCATCGGCTGGCGGGAGTTCAATCCTGGTTCGATTCCAGGCTGGGTCATGGTTACTATCCCCCCAGGTTTTTGCTGCGCCCACCCCAACGTTGGACCGCGGCGCGCCGCTTCAGCTTCTTCGATTTCATTCGGCTTGAAGATAAGGTGAAGTGAAAGAGACCCGGTAGCGAGAGGTCTCGCGCCTGCACCGACTCATTGTGCAGCGATTTGTGTACAGCGGGTTCAATCTTGGTTCGATTCCAGGCCGGGTCGTAAAAGGGGTCTCATCTTTTTTTTTTTGCTGTGCCCACTGCCTGCATTCGACCGCCCCGCGCAGCTTCAGGTTCATTCATTCTGGTTGATTGAGCTGGAGGTAGGGTGAAGTGAAAGAGACCCGGTGGCCAGAGGTCTCGCACCCGCATCGACTTTATAGTTCTGCAAGGTCCAAGGACGGCGGGGATATAATCCTGGTTCAATTCCAGGCCGGGTCGTGACGGGCTTTCGCCTTCATTTTTTTTGTGCCCATCGCCTGCAATCGACCGCCACGCAGCTTGAAGTTCGTTCAGGTTTGTTCAGGCAGGTTGAAGATGGAGTGAAGTGAAAGAGACCCGGTGGCGAAAGGTCTCGCACCCGCATTGACTTCAAGATTCTCATCGCCGTGCGGCGGGGATTCTTGGTTCGATTCCAGGGTGGGTCATGTACGTTGTCAGGAGTCATTTTTTCCTTGACAAAGCTCGCCTCACCGGACCGAAATGTCAGCACCTCACGTAGAGTGTTCAGACAAGGAAGAAGACCCAGTAGGAAGAAGACCCAGTAGCGAGAGGCCTCGCGCCCGTATCGACTTGTTGAGTTGTTCTACAAAGCATACGGCGGGTCTTCGATCCTGGTTCGATTCCAGGCTGTGTCATGATTCCACTGTGTCGCAACTTTTTGCTGCACCACCACCTGTGTACGACCGCTGCGCGCAGCTTGAACTTTGTTCGTTCAGGCAAGTTGAAGATTATTGGAGGAAGAGGCCCGGTGGCGAGAGGTCTTTCACCTTCAAGATTGTCAAATGTGCTGCGGGCATGCCTGGTTCGATTCCAGGCTGGGTCATACATTCATACTGCTCTCACCTCTGCTGTTTTTTGCTGTGCCTACTGCACCGCCCCGCGCAGCTTGAAATGAAATTTGAATTCATTCGGGTTCATTCAAGTTGAAGATAGGGTGAAGTGAAAGAGGACCAGTGGCGAGAGGTCTCGCGCCCGCACCTACTTGCTGCTTCGCCCTTTCTCATCGGCCGGCGGTCATTCAATCCTGGTTCGATTCCAGGCTGGGTTATTAAATCTCCTGCTTCTCTTTTGCACCGACCGCCTGTGTTTGACCGCTGCGCGCAGCTTCAGCTTGAAGTTCATTCGGGTGGATTGAGTTGGAGATGGGGTGAAGTGAAAGAGGCCCAGTGGCGAGAGGTCTCGCACCCGCATTGACTGCGAGATTGTCAAATGTGCTGCGGGCATTCCTGGTTCGATTCCAGGCGGGATCATGCGCCAGGCAAGATGATTTTTCCTCCGTAAAGGTCCATCGCAGTCCACTAGAGCATCAGGCACAAGCTCAGGAGGATCCAGGGGCGACATTGCACCCACATCAACTCCGTGTCGACATTGTTTGGCGGGGCTCCTGGTTCAATCCCAGGCTGGGTCATGTATGTGTCGTTGAGTCATTTTTCCTTGATGAAGCTCGTCTCACAGGACCGAAATGTCAGCACCTCACGTAGAGTGTTCAGACAAGGAAGAAGACCCAGTAGCGAGGAGTATCGCACCCGCATCGACTAGCTGCTTGCTTCCTTGGCCAGCGGGGTTCCATCCTGGTTCAACTACAGGCTGGGTCATGTAGGTGTCGGCAGGAGTCATTTTTTCCTTGATAAAGCTCGCCCACTGGACCAAAATGTCAGCACCTCACGTAGAGTGTCCTGACAAGGAAGAAGACCCAGAGCGAGCAGTCTCGCAGCCACATTCCATATATTGTATGCTATAGAGTGAGTTTGTGGAGAAGCCAACCCTGGTTCGACTCCAGGCTGAGACCGCCGCACGCAGCTTCAGCTTCGAGTTCATTCGGGTTGGAGATGGGGGTGAGAAGAGGCCCAGTGGCGAGAGGTCTCGCACCCGCATCAAGTTCATCGCTCTTACCTCAGCTATACGGCGGTCATTTAATCCTGGTTCAATTCCAGGCCGGGTCATAATTTGTATTGGATATCCCCCATGTTTTTGCTACACCAACCGCCTGTGTTCGACCGCTGCGCGCAACTTGGGATTTGTTCATTCGGGTTGATTGAGTTGGAGCTCGGGGCGGAGGAAGAGGCCCAGTGGCGAGAGGTCTCGCACCCGCATTGACTCAATTGTTCCTCTCGACGTATGGCGGGGATTCTTGGTTCGATTCCAGGCTGGGTCATCAAGTCGCCTTTTCTCTGTTTTTTTTCTGCACCCACCGCCTGTGTTCGACCGCCGCGCGCAGCTTGAACTTCAGTTGGGTTCATTTGGGTTGGAGATGAATGAGGGTGAAGTGGAAGAGGCCCGGTGGCGAGAGGTCTCGCACTCCATTGTTCCTCTTGACGTACGGCGGGGATTCTTGGTTCGATTCCAGGCTGGGTCATCAAATCTCCTGCTTCTCTTTTTGCAACCAACCCTTGTGTTCGACCACGGCGCGCAGCTTCAGCTTTGAGTTCATCCGGGTTGAAGATGGGGTGAAGAGGGGGTGAAGAGAAAGAGACCCGGTGGCGCATCCGCATCAACTTCGTGATTGTTGAACGTTCTGCGGGCATTCCTGGTTTGACTCCAGGCTGGGTCATGATTCAATGTGTGTGTTGTTTTTGCTGCCCCCACCCCTGCGTTTGACCGCCGCGCGCAGCGGGAAGTTCATTCAGGTTCGTTCGGGCAGGTTAAAGACAGAGGTGAAAGAGACCCAGTGGCGAGAGGTCTCGCACCCGCATCAACTGGTTCCCAATGATCATCGGCCTGAGCGGGGGTTGAATCCTGGTTAGATTCCAGGCTGGGTCATGATTAGCTCTGATGATCTTTTTGCTGGTTCATAACAGAGGGGCACCATCACTTTTTTCTGTACCCACCGCCTGCGTTCGACCGTCGCGCGCAGCTTGAGTTTGTTCGCGTTGAGTGAGTCGGAAATGGGGTGAAGTGAAACCAGACCCTGTAGCGAGAGTTCCCGCACCCGCAATTGACTTGCTGTTTTCTTCTCTGTTGGCCAGCGGGTCAATCCTGGTTCGGTTCCAGGCTGGGTCATAATCACTTTCTCAAGGTGTTTTTTCTTCATAAGGCTCGTCTCAACCGACTAGAGTGTCACTGTCAGCACCTCATGTAGAGTGTTCAGATGAGGAAGAAGACCCAGTAGCGAGAGGTCTTGCACCCGCATCAAGTTCATGATACGCAGGAAGGTGTCTAACGGGGTTCTTGGTTCGATTCCAGGCTGGGTCATGATGTGTTCTGTTTCTCCAGGTTTTTGCTGCACCCACCGCCTGTGTTCGACCGCCACACGCAACTTGAAGTCCATCCGGGTTCGTTCGGGTTGAAGATGAATGAGGGTGAAAGAGGCCCGGTGGTGAGAGGTCTCGCACCCGCGTCAACTTGCTGTTTAGCGATGATCATCTGCCAGCGGGAGTTTAACGTCCGATCCTGGTTCGATTCCAGGCTGGGTTGTTCGTGACTGGCTTGGTGTTTTTATCAACCGCACTGACCTTGTGCTTTCAGAATATGTCTGGCGGGGTTTCCTGGTTCAATTTCAGACTGAGTTGTGTGCCAGTGCATGGATGTTTATAGCTGCGACCCTTTTTTTGTCCTTGATAAGGGTTTGTCTGCCTCACCTTACTGAAGTGTCGGTACTCACATAAGGTTATGGCCCAGTAGCAAGAGGTCTCGCACCCGCAGCAACTGCATAGTACTTTCCATTCTTTGGCAGGAAATTCCCGACTTAATTCCAGTTTTAGTCTATAAACACTGTTTTTTTTTTGTTCTGCCGAACATTCAGTCGAGTGCATGGAGTCAAGGAAGGTTGGTTCCTTTGCATTTATCCATTACAAGACATTTACTCACCACTTCAATCCTCCCAGAACAATAACTGAACAAGAACAAGAACGCGGCGGGCGTTTCGCGCCCTTCCACTTCGGTTCAGTGGCTGTTCTGCTTCACAGCGGTCAACAGCAACTGATCATGAACCTATGCCTTGATTTGGGTGATTGCGCGGGCGCGGCGCAGCACACTTGCGGCAGTCACACCGATTCGGGTCAAAGATGACTGCTGAACTTAGTTGCAGTGGGGAATATAGTCCCCCTCCACTCTAGTGAGACTTCACATAAGTTTCCCAGCAAGAAGGAACCACTCCCCGAAGCAGAAAATGAATAAACCGAGTTCAGATCCGCCCGGCAAGTGAAGGCGAAGGGCGGAGTTAGCGGAGCTTAAGAAGCTTCAGACATGCATAATTTTATGAAAAGGAAGATTCCATATTCAAGACCATAACGGTTTTCACAGTACAAATTCACTGTATATACCAAATTGCCAAAGGGTTTCTGCCCACTACTCCAGGGATTGAATTGCACAACAGCACTCTCCACCTAAACATCCAACTCTCTCAGTTTGGTCTCCGCAGACAAGAGTTTGGTGTTAATGTTTGCAACATCATTTCCCTGAAGACAGCGCTCAAATAGAGGTTGTGCTGCTTTCCACAGCAGAACTGATTCGGAAATATTTCCTCGCAAACTTGCTAGATCACCGAGACGATTCATGCACCGAGCCCTGTTGTGGTGGATGTCCATCTCTGTGAAGCCCTGCAATGCCACACTCCAGAGGGAATGTGCAGAGTCAGGATCATTGGTGGAGATAAACACATCCCCAAGGAACATAAGAGCCTGGTAAACTGCCATCTGTTGCTGGTGCTTTTGGGCGTGGGCCAGGTATATCAGAGTCCATCTCGACCTTGACTCTAGTTTCTCCTTCCTCCAGCGAGTGACATCGGCCAGTCGCTCTAAGCTGTATGATACAAGGAGGTTGTCCACTGTTCGCATTGAGTTGATGCATCGAAGGAACAGGAGCTCTGCTTTCTCTTCACCACCCTGGGATAGGGAAAGTTCTGCTTCAATTGTGTCGCATAGGCTGAGCCCCTGAGCACTTTTATGGAGTTCAACAATTCTTTTGGCAGTGGCAAGATAGTCATGTACTCCTGGCCCAATTGTTCCAGCAAGGAGATCCACCTCTGCCAACTGCAAGAGTATAATGGCATAGTTCATGGGCTGCCCCTCGACGGATGCACTTTGCTTCACTTTTGTTAAGATATTCTTTGCCTCCAGGTATTCTGACTTCAACGTATGAACTGCAGCATGCTCACTGAGTGCTATGAGCTGTAGTCGTCCTCCAGGGATGCTACAGAGCTCCATAAGCTCGTGTACCCGGTTAAACTGACGAACAGCTTCATTGTAGTCCCCCAATTCCCGATAACAGACTCCTCCAATCCGCAGTGCCAGTGCCTCGTTGTATAAATTTGAGGATACTTTCGCCAGTCTCTGTGCCTCCAGAACATGTGGCAGGGCCAGGGCATGATGCCCAATATTACACTCCACCTCAGCTATGTTCCTCAGTGCAGTGGATTGGCCCTGAATGTATTCGTGAGATTTGGCTAGATCCAGAGCGGTCTTGAAGAACTCCAGAGCCAGAGACGAATTGTTTGTCTTGAAACGATGGTACTGTCCAACTGCATTGTAAAATTCAGCTTTTGTGAAATTAGTTCCTTGCTGAACAGAGAGAAGGAAAGAACTACTCACATTCTAGGACAGGATCACTGAAGTACTTGAAATGAACGACTGTACTCGCAATAAGCTCATCTGGCCCTTCCAAAGGGTGACTCTGAACCGATCTGAAAACTTCAACTGCAAAGCGCGCCTCAAGTTGATGATCACAAGGTTCAGGAAAGACACAGGGGATATTGTCCAAGAGGACTGTACAACCCTGTCCGGCCATCACTGTGCATCGATTGAACCACAGGGTACACCGTATAGCATCCTCCCGACTGGGATTCTGTGGATGCAATGCCCTTTGCAGTAGTTGATGCAGGTTACCACGATTCAGAGTTGCCTGGTTAATGATTGAGCCCATATGCTGGGTTCCATAGTACTCCTGTAACAGAGCCAAGTGGGAATGGTAGTGTTGAAGGAGGGGGAAAATGAGATCCAGGGAGGGAGGGCAGAATTGTTGCATGTGTTCTCGAATAGGTACGAGTGACTTGATCCTTTTGTTGCCGTCCTGGTAGGCCAAGGACGTCCCGAGCAAGGCAGCCTTGCAGCCCAGGACACCTTGGATTGGGAGTTTGCTTTGGACAAGCTGGGCATCTGACAGCCCATCGGGAAGCAGCGACAGAAGTGCCAACAGATCTCGAGCACCAGGAGAGGATTCAATCCGAGGGCTTGTCAGGGAGACGGTAATGGAGGCGGCCATACTAGATCTTCTGTCGCTGCCCAGAGACAGTAGGGATGTTTTTTCTGTCTGCCAACGAGTGAGGACAGTTGAACATCCTTCATAGTCAACCAGATGAGCAATCAAATCTATAGCCAGAGGCATGTTGTCTGTCAGATGAAGCAGTTCATCGACATCTGGACCATCGTGAACACCATCTGTGATGTCCATGAACAGCTTTCGAGCAGCAATGTCCGACAGGGACTTCAGGGGTGGTAGAAATGGGCGCGTCCAGCGGACTTTTGCTGGTCGCTCTGCCCCGCGCATAGTTATCTATTATAGCAACTCAACTTCGATCATTAGGCACATTGACAATTTTTGCACTCACCACAAGTGCAAGATGCTCAATGTCGGCTAGCAAGGAAAGGAATTCTTCTAGCTTTCCTCGTGAGTGGATGGACTCCCAGGGTGTCTCCAGATTGTCCAAAATCAACAAGCAAGGCGGTCCAGCTGCAAAATGGCGAACAACAGCTTTGGTCAAATCAGTTCCCTGGTTGATCCCCAGATGAGATCCAATCCTAGCCGCGAGCTCGACACTAGTGGTTGTGGAATCTGCAGTCACGAAGAATCGCTGTTCGTACTTGGGAGCAATATCTGGATGATGAAGCACAGCCTGAGCAAGTGTGGTTTTGCCCATCCCGTCTCCCCCGAGAATCGCGATCCGCGGAGATTGTTGAGACAGCATCTGTAGAATGTCTTGCATTTCGAGCTCGCGACCGTAGAATAGTTTCGGTTTGCCAGGAAGCATTGAGAAGGAGTTTGAACTGGAAATAGTCAGGTCCGAAGGATCAACAACAATCATTCAGACATACCTTTGAAACGCGCTTTGGTACCTCTATTATGGAGTACAACAAGCTTAAGTGCTTGAAACACAAACAGTGCATGACATACGAAGGAGGATGTGTCCGACATGGGCTCATCAGAAGTGGAGGCAATGAGCTCCAATAATTCTGCGTGCATGCGCTCCGTCGCTTCCTTCATCTTGTCGAGGCTGTTGAAAAGTGTGGCACTGCCCGCAAACTGTGTGTCCCTGAGTGAATTTGCAGTGGTCACGTAAGGGGTGGGATGTACCTTGAACAAGGCGAGGGCCTCGTGCAAGCCAGCCTGGCACTCCTTTCGCATTCTGCTCAATTCTCCTTG